TGCACAGGCTTGGCCCTTGCCAAAGTTTTCTAGTAGAGAGCACTTACTTTTGGCAACACTTCCCAGGTCTTCTCTTTGTGAACCTCTCAAGACAATAAATTTCTTAGGAATAGGTACTTTTTTTGACAACTGTGGATCTTCTAGCCTACTGCCTGCATCTAATATTTGATATTTGATAAATAAATATTTGATAAATATTTGATAAACCATATTCCAAATCTGCATTCTCTATGATCCCCCAGCCACTTTTCTTTACTTTCTTTAATTCTTCTACTCTGTGGTTTCAAAGAGTGAGAGGATAAAATGTGTAATCCCCTCCTGAGGTATTGGCATTTCATAAAGCAAACAGCTTTGAGCTAAAGAAATGAAGCCATATGGTATGTTAGGCATTATGAAGATGATGGAATGCATTCTGAAAGGCAAGATAGTATTCCTTAGCTCCCTGTTATACCTGGTAATGGGCCTGTAGTGCAAATGATGCCAAGAACAGTTCATGGTAGATTTTCAATTATTTAAAAGTAGGACATAGGCCATGATCATTGCTTTTCATTGTTTCCACAGATGAGCTCTGGCTTCCTTTCTATTTCTCATACTGAAGTTCTTCCTCTACCCTCACCATAACAGAAAAACACCTCAAAACATTGATTACCTATTATAAGGTTGGTCTTTTCTAAACAAACAAACAAAAATTCCAAAGCAGTTTGCATTTGGAGGCATTCTTTGCTCCTCTATCAATGGTTCTTGAACATATTGCCATACAAGATTTCCTATGTTATACAGATCAAGGGAATTTTCTTAAGTGTTTTTGAAAACTATAAATAGGAAACAAATTCACTACTGAACATCTATCTTCTATAAAGTTTAGAGGTTGACTTATCAGACTAAGAAAAACCTACATTCTATAATTCTGATTCCATTTTTAATCAAATTATTATAAACACCCTTTGAGTCATTTCGTGGAAAAGATAGATTAAATAGTGTACCCAATCAAAAAAACTGAACAATTCCTTCCACTTGAAAGTTACATAATTGCTCAACAAATTGTATGTGTTATTAAAACATGAATTGATAGTAAGGCCACTGAATAGTGCTACAACTCATTAAAGCCAACTAGTATGGTTTTACTTCTTAGAATTGTTAGAAGTAAATTTTCTGTTCCACAAAAGAAATAGCACTCAAATATAAATTTTCTCAGCAAGGCAATTTACTTCTATAGAAGGGTGTGTCTCATGGATGGAGCAGTGGCAAGAGCATAACTGAACTAGGGAGGGGAAGGGGTTCTTATCCCTTATGTAGGTAGTCCCGACTTCTGTGTAGTTCTCCTATTGGCTAGGGTTGGACCACACAGTCTAAGCTGATTCCAATTTGTTATTTTAAAGAGAGGAGTATGAGCCAAAGTGGCAGGGTGAGCAGTTTTGGCAGGAAAGATGGTTACAGAACAGATGACAAAAGGTGGTGACTGAGGTCAGAGCAGATGATCAGGGGTGACTCAGGGCAGAGCAGGTGACTAGGATGAGTCAAGACTCTAAATATGTGGGTTAGGAGCAGGATGCACAAGGGGGATGTGCAGTTTCAATGAGAGGAATAGGTACAGGTAATCAGGGGAACAGATATGAACTACTGATTAGAACTTCCAGGAAAGTTGTTTACTGAAATTAGGGGCAAGGAGATGAAGAAAATGATGAAGTTAAACTTTAAAATAAAGAAGGAACATGGAAACTGAACATAGTGGCATACTTATTCTTTGAAGAGAGACTTGGAACTCACTGTATTCAACAGAGTATGTGTCATTTACAGTGGCAATTATCTCTTTTTGTATTAATGAAGAAAATAAAATAGAGCATAACTCACAAATTGTATCTATTTGGGCTTCAAGTATTTCTTGTTTTACTTGGGAGTGATGCATTTATATTATTTGAATATAGATTTTGTCTTACAATTTGGGAGATCATACTACTTTAAACAAAATTACACTGGTGTGACTTATCCCTAGAAAGACAGTGGAACATTGCTTAGCTTATTTGAACTGATCTCAGAGGGACTTCTTTAATATCCCATGCTGCTAATCAAGAAACCATCTCGGAATGGTGGTAAGGACTAACTCTAGGCAAGAGGCCCCATCATTCTGTTTACTGCCTAGGTTACTCCACCCTTGATGGAAAGATTATAATTAAGTCAGGGACCATAAGACAATATATTATTCATATTGATATTCCCAGAAGTAGATTAGTTCTTGGCTCCATAGTAGGTGTTCCATAAATGTTTGTTCAATGCAACTGAATTACCTTGAATATCATGGGCACAGGATTCTTAGCTAGGGGTCTAAATTAGAAATATCTAAAAATATTTTGAAAACAAAAACAGAGAAGAGGTATGATTACGTGTATTTCTTTAAAAATCATCAGGTGACACTGATAAACCACCTTAGTTATAAACCACTAATCTAAGTGGTGAACTATTTTTGTGAAAAATTCTAATAGTCAGCTTGATTGCCTAAATATTTCTAATTATTTTTATGAGGTATTTATTTTAAAAATGAATAGGCTAGTGATTTTCAAAATTTGTGGGAGCTTTTGAGGCTTTAGCCTCCAAACAGTATCATACACCAAACCCAAATATTGTCAGTTCTCATTATTATTCATGAATTCTACCTTTGCAAATTTGCCTTTTCATTATAAATTATGTGTAACCCCCAAATCAATACTCCTAGCAGTTTCGCTATCATTCACAGACACTCACAGAGTGGCCAGACATTGGAGCCACCCTTTGTGCAGCTCCCAGATGAGGTTAAACAAGGCAATGCTCTCTTTGCCTTCTTGTTTCGGTTTTCATACTACAAACAAATATCCTTTTTGTGGTCTACTTAGTGCTACATTTTTATGCATTTTGTTTGATTTTATTGTTTTAAATGGCCCCCAAGCATCATACTGAAGTGCTGTATGGTGTTCCTAAGTGCAAGAAAGCTGTGATGTGGCTTACAGAGAAAATATGTATATCGAATAAGTTTTCTTCAGGTAGAAGTTATAGTGCTACTGGCTGAGAGTTCAGTGTGAATAAAGCAGCAACATATGTTAAATAAGGTGTCTTTAAACAAAACTCATAAAACAAAGTTAGCTATTGATTGCTGGATGAAAACATTGTGACCAGAGGTTTACAGGAACCTAACCCTGTGTTTCCCCTGGAAGCAATAGCTCAGGATTTTCTATTTCAGTTTTTGCAGCAACTTTATAGACCATAAATACTGAAAACAACAATAATTAACTGTATATAAAACTTGAAGCCAAAATTGCTCTAGATGACATAGGCATAAGACCATCATTTTTGTTCTCTTATCATCTCTTTCTTCCCAAGTGACATTCCCCAAAACATATACTTATTTTCTGGATCCAGGAGGAGGAATTTTAATAAGAATAGTCTTCCAAATGAATCCAGAGTAACAACTGAATTTCACATTTTACCTATATATTTGGATGTTATGTAGATACAGCAAGTACTTGCTTAGAAAATGTGAAACTAACATTATATTAAATCAAATAATTCCAGTTAGGAAGGTAATCAGTTGGGGTTGGGAGGAGGATATCCAGTGCTTTTCTGAGCCAAATATAAATTACTTTTATATTACCTGGTGTTCTTAATTATCTGCACCACTATACCACTCTGGACAGGATCAGAGGTTGGTTCTACCTCTGACAATGTCATATCACTGGGTCCAGGGGGCTTTTCCCTATGTGCAATGAAAGTAAAGGAAATACAATAGAACATCTGTTGACTCATCACATCAGATTTTGAGTAAATGAATTACTTCTCTTATGCATTAAATAAAATGCATGGTTTGGAAAAGCTTGCTGCAGTACTGAAAGTCACTTCATGGCTATTTTACTTTTTAAAGAAAAGGTCTAAATGTAGTCAAATTCAAAACAAAATAAGAAGCAACGTACTGTAAAACAGAGCATTTGGTAAAATAATAATAATGCAAATAACCATTCCCTAATACCTAAGATTTTGAATGCTAAATTCTGTTGTCATTGCTGTGGTTATTATTGCTGTTGAGAGATAAACATAGCTAAGTACTCTCAGGCAGACATCCTCAGCTGGAGATATTTTGCTCCCCAGGGGAGATTGGGCAACATCTGGAGACATTTTTGATTGCAGGATTGTGTGGGAGATGCTACTAGCATCTAGTGGATAGAAATTAGTCATACTACTAAAATATACAAGGCAGCCCCCATAACCACAACAAAAACCAATCTACTCCAAAATGCTAATGTACCAAGATGAAAAAACTCCTATTCCAGGAGTTACTAGTGAATAAAAGAATTCTATTATGCAGTACAAGCAATGGTTATTTCTATACAGACAACGATATTAGTGACTCTCCCAGGAGTGTGGCTCCTACACCTGCATTGAGTTCTCAGCAAGGATGTCATCCTAATCTCTGTGCCTAGAGAGAGCTTGATCCCAATATACAAACCAAGGCTCCCATATGAAAACAAAAGCACAAACAGCAGCTAAGCTCAGCATACCTCCTGGGTTCAGACATGAAATTTACCAGCTGACTCTCTCCTCTTTACTGCTAAAGGGACATCATTAACAAATCATTGAACTTTAGGAACAACATTAAAAATATCTGGGTTATTTTCTTCATTGACCATAGAAAAAGAGCCATAAAGTCATGGATCAAATCCCTAGGTGTTGTCTAAGGTTATGAGTCTGACACATTGCAGGAAAATGAATCAATCTGTTTAAGTCCCCAGAATGTAACAAGAAAACATTTTGTGGACTAGTCTTCCACTGACTTATTTGGCTATTTACATGTAATACCAATAATCTGTGCATTCACTCTGATTTATGGGTATAGCAGGCGGTACACGTTGACAGATGCTTGGGAAACTGCTTTGCAAACAATGCAGATACTTTGGCTTCTTTTCACATTTACTCTGTGCTCACTGCCACATCTTTACCTGTGTCTTCTTCTGAATATCTTCCTTTCTTTCCGACAGGTGGGCTGCAAGATTTTGCATTTCTTCCACCAGTATATGATGTCCTGCAACTATTTCTGGATGCTCTGTGAAGGGATCTATCTTCATACCCTCATTGTGGTGGCCGTGTTTACCGAGGAGCAACGCTTGCGGTGGTATTATCTCTTGGGCTGGGGTATGTATTTTCCACAGCTAAGTTTTGAGTCACTTTCACCTCTGTCTGTATGCTTCCAGTTTTCTTCTAATCTTGGTCTCAGAGAATAGAGTCAGGGCCCAGATCCTTTAAGGAATAATGGAACACAGGTACTGGCAGGAGTTTAGTCTCCAAAAGACCTGGTAGAAACCCTTTACCAATCCCAATCAAACTGTGCTGAACATGAGGGTCTGCACAGAGAAGGAAAGTATGACTATAAGGATAACTTCAGGGAACAAACTCAGCTAACGATGGACACAAAACGTGCCCTGATTAGAGAAGATCTGATTAAGCCTTCTTCTGCTTTATTCATCACATGTTTGTAGAGCAAAGGGGAATTTCACATTTTGAATTCTGTACCTCCCCTACCCTGGCTTCATTTTCCTTCCTCAATAACGTATCTTCCTGTCAGTCTATCAGCAGGACTCCTCCAGTGAAATCTCAGGAAGTACAGTCCAGCCGAGAGGCATATATAACCACATGGGTTTCCAAGTATAGCCTATGTGACATCATGTCACATGGCAATGGCTGTGGAAAGCTTAGGGCTGAATTGTTTACGCTGTGGTTGTTTCTGTACAAACTTAAGGGAGGGTGCTAAAGTCCTTCAGGGATGCTCTAGAATTGCTCACTTTCCCCAGGGCTGCTGAAAGTCCAGCTCCCCCTGGTGGAAGGGAAGCAAACAGATGTTAAGGCAATGAAAGAAAAATGTTGCAATAAAAACACATGCTGCCTTATCAAATAAAGTTTCAGCTTCACCTTGAAACTTCCATACTAGAGGAGAAACTCATGGGCCATCTCTCACTGACTACATAGCCGAATGCTTCCCTCACCACATCCACTCATGAGGTGACTGTGACTCTGAAAGCAGAGGCTGTGGATGGCCTTCAACTAAGCCTGTCCTTTAATGGAGCAGGTTGGGGAGCCACTACAAATACTGGTAGGAAAGACATAGTAAGAAGAAAGGTTAATTTAAGTAATTTTTTAAAACATCACCTTTGTATTTAAAGCCCTGCCTAATAGGCATTGTCACCAATTTACAGAAATGTGCCTGGGAAGTCATAGAGCCAGTTTAGAGTCTTTCCTGCAGTCTGTAAACTGCAGAAAGGGGCTGGTTTTATGCCATACTGGTTTCCATAATACCCTTACATAACAGGAGTATATGGCTTTAACCAAATGCATTGCCCAAACCCAATGGGATAATCCTATAATAATGGGTCAGTGGGGCAGATAGGCGGGATGCCTCAAAATTGAATTGATGATGCTACAATTCTTTGGCTGCAAGCAACAGAGTAAGATGTTCTAACTTAAGCAAATATAGAGAAGTTGTCAGAATCTAGATTATCTCATGGAAGCCAAGGGCAGAAATACAGCCAGGCAACTAAAAGGGCTGTAGCCTAGGACCAGATAAACCAGGAGCTCTCTCCCTCTGCCTTTTATCTTTGCTTTTCCTCTGTGAATCTGTTTTCACATTTCTTTTTCTTTACAAACCATAGACCACAGGATATCCACTCCCTCCAGTTTTCATAGTAAATGCATCTTGCCCCAAAGTTTCCCGAGTATACATGTTTCTGTTCCAGGCATTCACAAAAACTAAATGCCCATCTTTTTTTTTTTTTTTTTTTTTTTTTTTTGAGACAGAGTTTCGCTCTTGTTACCCAGGCTGGAGTGCAATGGCGCGATCTCAGCTCACCGCAACCTCCGCCTCCTGGGTTCAGGCAATTCTCCTGCCTCAGCCTCCTGAGTAGCTGGGATTACAGGCACACGCCACCATGCCTAGCTAATTTTTTGTAGTTTTAGTAGAGACGGGGTTTCACCATGTTGACCAGGATGGTCTCGATCTCTTGACCTCGTGATCCACCCGCCTCGGCCTCCCAAAGTGCTGGGATTACAGGCGTGAGCCACCGCGCCCGGCCCTAAATGCCCAGCTTTAAGCGCCAATTATGAATAGCAGGACAAGAGAATCTGTGATCCAACTGAAGGTAGGTAGCCTACCCTGGTTCAATGAACTGTGGCCAAGAAAATTGAGAGGGATACTGTAATATAGTATGAACATGTCTAGGGATAGTGAACCCTCCGGCAAAAGACTGAGAAAGGGGTCTTTGTGAACTGTACAGGCTGTCTAGGATATGCACCAGATCACCTCATCTGTATGGCTGCTCCCTTACCAGGAGAGCAGCAGCTCCACCCTGTTTACTTAGCCATCCAGTGAACTTAGAAGTCAGGCTATGACTATCCTGCTGATTCTACATCAGTTAACAGGTTCTCCTGCTCTTTCCTTTCCTCAAAACAGGCCAAAATTTAATCAAAATGGCCTTGTACTACTTTTTTTCTTTTAGCTCCAGCCTTCCACAGAGACTAATGTTTCCTTTCCCTGGCCTCCTCATTCTTATGCACACCCTCTCAACAATTTCTAGACTTCCAAATCTGGTCATGCCAAGAATAGACTAGATACAATTTAATCACTCCAATAGCAATCGGATCATTACAATCGTAACAATTGGTGCTGTACAAATACCTTCCAATCAAACACCTGAAAACAACATTCTACCCCAAACACACACACAAGCACACACAAAATTTCTGCCAGATTTATTTCCTTTAAAATAATATCTGTGGTATGTTTCTTTTACCAGTTTTGATTGTTCAAAACATCTATTTGCCACAATCAGAAAATTTCCCATGTGAAGAAAAGGCTGTAAATTGATTCTTGTCTGTGACATTCAGTGGAAACAAGGGCACCCTAGAAGGAACAATTTATACTGCTTTTGGAATATACTGATGTATTGTAAATTAGTTATAAAAACTTTTTGGCATCATCGTAGACAGCTCAATGAAGATATCTGCTTAAAACACATAAACAATGCAAAGGAAAAAAGGAACAAGCTGCTCAGCTGTATCAAAAATAAGGACAATGATAAATAAATTACTTATGTGACACCTTAAGCTTCTTTAATCAACAAATATTTAAAACTTCATTAGAATGATTCAAGTAGAATCCCAAAGAATCTTACACTTAGTAAGGAAAGCACAAAATGGGGAGTTGCAAATCAATGGGTGTATAGACTAAGCAATGCAAGATGAGAAATTTTAGGGATCTGCTGTACAACATCATACCTATAGGTAACAATATTGTACTATGCACTTAAAAATATATTTAGAGGGCAGATATCATGTTATGTTCTTGCAACAATAATATAAAAATTTAAATTAAAAAAAGAATTAGAGGGATTTGTACTTCCATAGATAGATTTTTGGAAAGAGTCAACCAAATAGATCTAAAATGTAATGTTTTAGCATGCTAAAGTTAAGAGTATCTTTCTATACACGCGCGCGTGCACACACACACACACACACACACACACACCAAAATTCCACCAAACTCGTTACCACTGAAAAATGCGGTGCCAAATCTGAACTCTGAGAACAAAACTGACATATTTTAAAGCAAGGACTCCTTTCTTAGAACTTTTAAGTAATCATTAGCTTTGGCTGGGAGAAAAATGGGTGAAATTACTACCAATTAATTTCTCAAGAAGAAATAGTTTCACAGAAACTTTAAAAAGTTTAATGAAGCAAGAGAAAAAGTCTCTTCTGAATAATATTTTTATTGTCCTCTGAAAATTCTTTTCACATGAAGACAGTATGATAGGTTCTAAACTTTACAATGCCAGAATAAAAGCAAAACCTATATATTTTTAAAAGATTCTTGAAAGTTAGACTGCAGAAAATTTGGCCCAAAAAAACCAAGTTGTATTATAGCACCTAATTTGTTTGCAGATGATATAAAGCCCGTCCATTTAATTCAGCTTTGAATAATGTTACCAACTCTAGGATTTGAAACCAATCTCAAATAATTGAAATTCTACCCAATAGAAAATCAAAGAATGGTTCTTTCAGTAGTTACTCCCTTCCAAGTATGCATGGCACCACTTATTAGTCAATTTCTCTCCAATTGAAGTATCTTCACATACTGAAGTTTAGTTCTCAGGAAAATCATTTATTTTGCAGCTCTCTCCATACTGTTCCTTTGCCTTGCCTTGCCTTGCCTTGCTGGTTTCCCCCTTGTTAGAAATCAAAGGAAGGAAATTCCCCCCATGGACTTCTACATTGAACAAATAGAATTTATCTAATCACCTTTAAAAGCATGAATCCTATGGAGACTGGGTTATTCTGATCCTTATTATCTTTGGTGGGAGGAATGGGTTGTAATGGATCTTGGGGCCTTGGAGAGAAGAGAAAGGAAAAATGAAAAAACAAACTACATAAAAGAAAGCATCATAGCTAGATGAAGGCAAAGAGCCATGGGTGTTGAAAGGTATGGGGTCTACACTCTTCTGCAGATGAAATAAAACACTTTCCTTTCTACAAAATGATGAGGTGGGATTCAGTTTTCCATATGCCTCTCTTGCTGTCTAATTCTAAATATGCATCTCAAAATAAATCCAGAGACTTTGTTTCCATTTCTGAGCCCATGTGGGAAAATGGTATGTTAGAACTGTTGTGAATAACATAATCATGTTTTGTGTAAACAAACTCAAAATTATTTCAGACCAAACATTAAATCGATGGTCCTATTGAATATATGCTTCCTGTAGAATCTGAGGTTGTTCTTAGGTGAAAATTCAATATTTTGAGGCCTCTTTTTGTATGTAACTCACAGAAAATAAAAGTGTGTTGATTTAATTCTTTCCTAAGACAAATTTCTTAATCTGATGACAATAACAAAATCTCTTCCTACAGGTGTCTCAATCAAATCAAATGATATTCTACTATTTATAGATACATATGAGTAAAATGTCAATTTTTTCTTTTTTAGTGAAAATTACAACTTTAGGTTACACTTATAGAATCATAATTGATTGAAAAAATTATAATCTGGAAGGATGCATTCCAACAACTGTCTCCATTTTTCTGTTTATAAATTTTAAAACTTTTTCTTCTTTACTAGCATTTTGAGCTTAGTCGGGGAGGTACAGTAAGCTGCCTTCATAAACGTTCTCTAGCCAGAACCTACAGAAGGTAGGAAATGTATTGGCTTCTCTGAAGTATTCATATTAAAAGGAAACAAAATCACTGTATGAGATATAAACAGACAGAAAAACAAAAAAGCCTAGAAGAAAGAATAACATCAGCTATGGCTTTAGGAGGAATGGGACTATTACTTTCACACACCCTCCCTTACCAGGAGAGCAGCAGCTCTCCATGAGAGCCCAGTTCACCTATGATGAAAGGCTTTCAAGCCTCAGTTAATAGTCATCATTATAAACATAACAATGGTAATAACAGTCATAGTGTACCTACTACACTCAGCAATTTGTAAAAGGCTTTTAATTATCAGAAGACTCTTAACCAATCTCTCTGAAAGCCCATGATGTTCTAACTGGGAGCATTTTTAACTGGCTTGACCAAAGATAATTTTTGTGAAAATATCAGGGGAACATCTTGACAGACACACTCAATTTAACAGTACTTTTGCAAGTACACTACCATTTTCCATGCAGTTTTACTTATAGGTTATGACCACAAAACCAAGTGTGATTTGTACTTTTCACATTTGTAGGGTTCCCGCTGGTGCCAACCACTATCCATGCTATTACCAGGGCCCTGTACTTCAATGACAAGTAAGTATTTTATGGTGATGTTTAGGTTAACATATGCATAAATAAAATGGATTTGCGTATTAATGTGTTTCCCACCCCCCTTTTTTACAGCTGCTGGCTGAGTGCAGATACCCATTTGCTTTACATAATCCATGGCCCTGTCATGGCGGCACTTGTGGTGAGAATTGGTTTTTAATGAAATATTAATAGTGTTATCTCTTAGTTGAGATTTGTGTGTGTATGGTTCTATGTATCATATGTTTTATAACTTCAAAATGAAGCTCATTTGATAGCATTCTGTAGTAAGAAAAGCAATTTGATTTTAGAATCTTCAAAAAAATGCTTTTTACTTATACACAGGGAGGGGTTATCATGAGCTCATTTTCATTATGCACTGTAACAGCAATGTAGCTCATATTTTAAGACTTTTATAACTAGATTCTCCTAGGTAAAGGTAAGAGGCCAAGGGGCTGCAAGAATTTTTAAAAGGTTGTGTTGCTAAAGAAAGTGAAATATCCTAAAGTGTGTAATTCCTGTACCTTTTTCCCTAGGTCCTAGAGAACAGAACCATCTTCTGTTTCAACTTTGGTACATGGGCCATCATCAAAAATACCCCAATTACACACCTGAAATATTTTAGGCATTTCACACACATTGCCATGCTGTTTTTAAAAGAAACCTTCTAATGGTAATATGTAAGGCTGTTTTACTCCTAGGGAAAAAAAAAAAGAAAAAACCTAAACCCAAGTCTGTAGTAATCTCACTCAAAAATCTCAGAACTAAGAAGAAGTTTGAGTTAGAATGAAAGTGGGACAGAGAATGAGACTGTCTGATCCTGAATGCTAGCTCCTTTATTTCTACCCATGTTTGCTTTACTACGTGTTGGCCAGGATCAGATAAAGAAAGTGAAATATCATATGTAATATTTAACCACATTTAATAATTTGACATTATCTTTCCCATTAACCTTAAAGACAGTGTTTTCTTCAGATTGCAGTGAGAAAAATGAAAGCAGTCTTAAGTTGTAGACTAAGACTGTTCTGCATTGAGAAAGCATCAGTGAGTAACTGTTCAAGCAGGTTTATTATCCAGACTTTCTTCTATCTTTCCTGGCCTTTCTAATGGAAATCAACTTCACTAGCCCATCCTCAAAAGGACCTACTGACATGGGTCTTGAACCTTTAAAGCACACCATAAGAGTTAAATTAAAGGTCATAGAAATTTTGGGGAAAAAATAATGTTTACTTCTATTCTAGGTAGAAAAATAATTCTACACATTTTTAAATTGTCAACTAAATTTTAAAAACAATTTTGGTTTCAAAACTAACCTTTATAGCCAAAAATAGTTTGTGACCCAGAAGATGTCAATTTCCTATATTTTTAATTTATACTTAAAGATCTTTTCCCATTGTATCTGCTAATCTGGTAGCGATCATGTTTCACACCAAAATAAAATTAGAAAAAATGTTCCTTCCTTTTTTTTAGATAGTTAAATAAACTTCTGTTTTATTAACCAATTCATTTAAAATTGATCAAATATTTTAATTTTATATTTGGTGTTATATAAATGGTTTCTACCTAATATTAAGTGTCTGTTCTGGATGAGCATTTTGACACTCCTGAAAAAATAATTTTTAACATCTTTGGTATGCAGAGAAATTTTCTCTGTAACATTTATTATTTCATCTAGTGTTTCTGCTTAGGAGAAGTTTGTTTGTGTTATGAACAGCTAGTATCTTTGAAAAATTTGACATTCCAGAGGTCTAAAAGTCTTTGATTTTGTGAACTTAAAGTCAAGAAACTCAAATATCCAACACAAGCTCAATTAGTGAGTTAGTAATAAATAGTGGACTCACAGCCAAATGTCAGATTCTTACTGAGGACACTATGGTTCTTATTTACTTAGGATTCAGTAGACTTGCCTCCATGGCTTAGCTCTATCATCTACCAGCTCTGAAAATTTAGATAAATCAATTAACCAAAAAATGTCCCCTGATTTTTTTGAGGAAAAACTTAGATTAAACAATCTTTCAGGTACTTTTGGAGGATAATCTCTAATTCTAGGTCACTGAACCTTAGCACTGCTCTATATCTTTATCTGTTAAGGATAACAAAAACAATAATAGTTGTCTATAAATTCATAGTTATAAACTATCTGCTAATAAAATAATAAATGAAGTAAAATGAAGTAAAAACTTTAGCAATTATCCTTATCTTTAAAATTCTAAAACAAATATTTCTTGCCTTAACTGTATAGAAATTTTGAAGGAAATGCTGATTCTAAGATCCAAATTATACATGTGTATCTGAGATGATTGTGTGTATACTTCACTTCACTGTGAATGACATAAATTAACAGAAAGTGATATATTTGGAATTCTTATTAATTTCATGACTAAAAGAAATACACATTAGTATATTTTAAAACTAAAAAAAGATTTAGCAATTAACAAGGTGAATTATTTATACCTTGAAGATGATTTTTCTCATTTTGAAAGAGTTGCCCATGCAAATATGGACACTTGATTTATGACAGCAGCACTTTTGAGCAGAGGAAGGAGATGGCCAATTAGATATACATACAGAAAAAATATCAGACATTTGTTTAGGCAATGCATATGTGTGGGGGAAAAAAGTAAATTCTGACTCCTTCCACAACCAGACACACACAAAAAATGTGTTTTTAGTGAACTGTAGGTTTAAATGTGAAAAACAAAACAATAGTGCCCTTTAAAAGACAATTTAGGTGAGTATTTTCATGAGCTTCAGTACAAAAATATTTCTAAAGCAGGATACAAAAAGCACTTAATGAAGAGATTGATAAATCAACTACATTAAAAAATGAAGACAACATTTAAAGACTAAAAAGACAAACCTTAGTGTCCAATAAGATATCTGCAATGTTCCAAATAAAGACTAATAAATTTATGAAAAGGTGTTCAGCTCATGTGTCATCAGGAAAATGCAGATTAAAACAAGAATAAGGTAATACTACACCCCTCCACCACCTGCTCCCCCATAGAAAGGCTCATATTAAAAAAAGTGTTCACACCAAGTGTTGGCAAGGGTGATGAGCAACTGGAACTCCTTTACATACTGCTGGAGGAAACATAAAATTAAACCACCTCTCTGGAGCCCTAGAAATGCTGAGCAAATTGTGCTACCTCTGAGGTAGACTGTCATGTTCTATGTAGGTAACATTTGCCACTCACACTAGATAAACAAGAATTTGAGGACAGTGGGCATTTTTAAGTGATACTTTTCTGTATGATTTGCTCAGAACATCATATATTTGCAGGTCAATTTCTTCTTTTTGCTCAACATTGTCCGGGTGCTTGTGACCAAAATGAGGGAAACCCATGAGGCGGAATCACACATGTACCTGAAGGCTGTGAAGGCCACCATGATCCTTGTGCCCCTGCTGGGAATCCAGTTTGTCGTCTTTCCCTGGAGACCTTCCAACCAGATGCTTGGGAAGATATACGATTATGTGATGCACTCTTTGGTTAATTTCCAGGTAAGGAAGCCAAAGGTGTATTTATTCAACTACTGTGCTTATTCTGCTAGCTGATCTTAACTCTAAAGCCCATGATCTTAAACGTCATAACATTTAAGCCTCCAATTCAACAAGCCCAGCCAAAATTTTGAAGGACACCAGTGTTTTTTGAGGCTCCTTCCTGCTGTTTATTTCTGTGCCGGCTTTCTTGTCATTCCCACGGCCCTCAGCTGGTCCCATCCAGGCATGTTTTCCCTGGTCATAGACATAGAAATTATCAGATCATCCTTTATAAATGAATGCTGGCTTTGGGGTAATGAGGAGTTTGTACAAAGCTGTCCATGCCTCCTGCTCTGTCACCCTCCATTTGTCAGGTAAATGTCAGGAATCATTTATGATGGTCCAGTGCCCATAAAGGGAAGTTGTATCCAGGCCTCTCCTCATGCAGGAGAGAATGCAGTGGGCTCCCAGAGGCTGTCCTGGACTGTCCAGTGTCTGCCACACTGGATAGGAGAATGGCTGCTCTAGTTCCATTCACCTTTCTCCAGATTAAAGCCCCACTGAAAGCATAATGTTGTATTTGGAGAGCAAGATAGGATGTGGAGTCCTCGGCAGGAGTAATTCTATCACAGGCTCTTAGGCCAGAGTTTTGCTGTCTCTATCACAAATTTCAAAAGAGTTTTATTTTCTATATTAGACTTAATGTGAGAAGGAGGTTAAAATTAACAGGGTTAGAGAAAAAGTTTAGGGTTTGTTTGAATAGTTCAAGCTGTTCTTTTGGCCATAATCAAAACTTGGACACAAGGAATCTTCCAAGCAGTGACCAGGACTCAGGCAGTTTCTTAGTCTATGTCCTTATCTGAGAGATGAACTGGGCGGTTGGTATACTACTGCATTAATTCACCATGACAACACAGGACGCAGACCCACAGCCACCCACTATGACACTTGTGCTTGCTGTGCTTGTGAAAGACTCCTCTACTGAATTCTACAAGGTCTCCATTTGTTTTTTTGTTTGTTTGTTTTTACTCCAGTCCTACAATTAGCAATTTCTCCAAGGAATTCTGGTTCCTTTTATTGTAAAATGGTATTTTAAAAAAACAAAGAAATTTAAAAAAAAAAAAAAACAGAAAAAGATCTTCGTTTTTAAATTTTCTAGGTATAGATTTTTTTCAAATTCACCATAATCAGCATATGCTGCTATAAATCTCCATGTTAAAGGGAGCAATATATTAATAAGATTTACTAGCACTGTCTTTTTACCCAAACAATGGAATCGTGACAAGAAAAATATATTTCTAATGGAATATTTTTGTAGTGCAGCACTGACTGTGAATGGTAGATAATTCTTTTTCTTGCTTTTTTTCTCATCGAGTCTTGACTTACTATTGCAGTAGTGAAGCATTCCTCTCTGGGCAGTCTATTATATTGTTTACTAAGACAACATAATGCACACAAAAATAACTTCAACTGTATTTTTCCCTCCCTTTTTAGGGATTATTTGTTGCAACGATCTACTGCTTCTGCAACAATGAGGTAAGCATGCATTTTATATAATACTATCACCTGTTTATGTGAAGGCAGCATTTTACAATTTCCAAAGGGCCTCCATACACATGTCATTTCATCTCACTTCTACAGTTGACTTTATAGGGTTTTGTCATTAGCAACATTATGTTTTTTTCCACTACTCCAAGCTGAATCTTATCTATGAACGTGTAGTACAATGGCTAATAGGATTCAGACAGGCAGCTAATTTCCTTGGGTTGCATCTTGAACAGATCAGCACCCTCAGCAGCAATAGTGAAAGCTATTCTGGATGCCATTAGAAAGAGAAGTCATATCCCTATTCCCTTTGGAAGACCCAAGCCCTCACACTAGGCAGAGACAATCTCCAGTCAGTTTGTACTGGTTCCTCACCTTCTTTTCTAGTTGCTTGGTCCTAGGGTCCTACTACTTATTCAGCGTTTTGAAAATCACCCTGAAGTTAAGATTCAAAAAGGATTCTCAAATAATCTACAATGTGAATAGTTAGATCAGTAAAATCTACAGATCCATATGGCTGATCCATTCTGCTCTCAGGGTGTTTTTAGCCAAAGTACCTTTTCTTCCAACCAAATCTTGCCCGGGAACCAAATCTACAAAACATAAAAGTAGAGCTTCTATACCCTCCAGACGTCCTTCCAAAGAACTTCCAGGGTTTTAGGGAACATGATTCAAAATCTTCCTCATTTTTCAGGGAAGAAATCTAAGCTCCAGAAAGCTCATGTGACTTACCCAATGTCACAAATGCAGTTATGGTTATAACCAGGACTAGAATACAGATTTCCTGATTTTCAATTTAATTAAGTCCCAATTAACTTACCTATGTCTATAATCCCTTCCTGGTGCTATGTTAGTATACTTTTTCTAGGACCACACAACTTTTAATGACAAAGTATTTTTGAACATTTTAAATCAATTCCAATTAAGAATAATTCCATACAAGGCAAATCACATTTTGCCAAGACATCAATATATTACTTTCCTATTAGTAATTAGAAACATTTCTAACCATTGTCAGTTGATAATTTATTCTCTATTCTTTTTTACTAAATTAAATAATATTTAGTGAGCACTTACAATATTTTGCTATTCTGTGACTTGTTCATACCCGTTTCCAACCCCAACATGACAAAGTTTTTACTGTTCCTATTCTCCATTTTCATTATTACACTGCAATCCTTCCTTTCTTCATCTATTCATCTACCAACTCATTCCTTCATTCAACAAAAATATATTGTGCATTTACTGTTGCTAGGGGCTAGACTAAGGGCCTAGAATAGAAATGAAAAGACATCCTTCCATTCTCAGCTGTTAGAGTAGCAATATTTTTTAGAATTTTAATATTTTTGAGAATAAAAAAATGAATAAATGAGTAGGGCATAAGTCACCCCATGTTTATGTCAATTTTTGTGAATGTATATCCATGCCTTTTGGGTTGTTTCAGGTGGCATGCAAAATAAATTTTTTATCTAATATTATATGAAAATAGGGCTAAGAAATCAGGCTCAGTGGGAATACCTGGAAAAACACAATAGGATTGCATACATTTGTAAAATACTACAATATTTATTGTGTCTTAACTATGATACTGTCACTGGAAGTGTCAGACACTGAAAGCACACCCAGGGGTACCCTAGCAATTGAATATCTCAAGTTCATTTGAGAATATGTTATCTATGATTTTGAAGAAACCATTTCCATTTTCATTAAGATCCTATTACTGGGGGAAGGTACAAGTGTGACATTTCTAATAATATAGAAATTGCCTATTGTGCCATATGTAATATCACAGCCCCATGAATTTTAGGCATCTGGGTCTCAGCTGGGCATTCTGTGGATGCATCACCTTACAACATTGAACACAGGCAGGGCACTCACACATGCCAGAAGTTATTTCCAGCTGCATCTAAGATAGGGCTGTGATGGAACTATGCCTGGCTGAATATTAAGTTTTAGCAGAAATCTATGGGGCTAAACTCATTGTAATGATGAGATCACATCACATTGTGTTACGTGCAATTTAATTTTGATTATGATTGGTACGTTATCAATGAAATTATTTCATTTTTGAATTTTGATTCATGTGTGTTATCCGTGTTATCAGTGAAATGATCATTATGAAAATAAATCATGTAGAGAGTCAATGGGTAGACTAGAAGCAGGAAAGTAACTTGAATCATTAAAGTAATAGGAATCAGGAGATGACCATGTGAGCAAACTTATGTATCAGGAATTTTCTACAACAACTCTTCCAAGTGAGTGGACATTGATTATTCAAATATATCAGTAAATTATTACATACCTAAGAGATCTCAAAAAGATGATTGCAGCTATAAAAGTGCACAAATTATTTCCAAGAAGTAGCTTAGAAATGGAAGTACTAACAGCACACTGGATTTTCTCCCTTTTCTTGTATCTTGCTATTGCCTGTACATTGTGGATAAAATAGTTTATAGATCAAAGTAGCATGATCAGAAGCATCTCAATTTAACTGGCACAAATTGGAGTGTGCAAAGGTAAAATTTCGTTTATTTGCTGTAGCTTATCTTGCTTTCAAGAGATCATTCCACTAGCCTCTAGTGGTTTACAGCAGTATCTTTACAGAAAATACTCAATTCAAAAGGCTTTGTCAAAAAGAGCACTGGCTACCAAGTTATAATGCCAGCACCCACTTTTGAAGTTCACACTGGTTCTCCTTACTACTAAGCACTCAAGAGGTATTTTCACTCTGTGGCTTCCTTAATGAAGACACAACCCTATTCTGATTCATGAGTTCTTTCCTCCAAGCCACTTAAGGAGCCTGGAACTCCAGCTCCTTTCTTCACACCGCACAGAGCCTGTGAATCTGTCTTCAGTACTTGCCGTAGTTGTTGCTGCTCTGCTGTTGGACATGGTTCCAGGGGCAAATGAGAACTTCTTTACAGAGCTAGCTGTTTTCAGGACTGTGCTCTCAGAATCAAAAAGAAAGACTTGATATAATGGAGTGTTCCTAAGAAAGCAAATTATATCTTGCTTGATTTCCTCTCCTCATTTTCCCAGAAGCTCCCACAATGAAGGGGAAATGCAAGGCCATTTGTATGTCTGTCTTACTCTCCTCTTCCTCTTAGGCTTGTTAGGGCTGTGCACTCATCGCTTCCCCTTCATGTCTGTGAGGATCTCTACCTATGTCATATCCTACATGTTCTCTACCCTGTAGCTTTGAGTAAAATACTATCTGCAGACCAGTAAGATTTTCACAACATATGCAAAGAGAAGTTTTTCTGTTTAGAAAATAGAAACTCTCCCACTCAATATAGCCTGATTTTTAATGTCTTCCTAGACTCATAAGAAAGACAACTTTGAGACGATGAGTCTCAAAGCTAAGCAATAATTTCTTTGTTCTAGACCAGTATTCTCAAACTTGAGAGCACATCAGAATCACCTGGAAGATTTGTGAAAACAGGGATTGCTTGGTCCCAGCAACAGAGTTTCCTATTCAGTAGGTCTGGGGTGGGGTTTGAGAGTTTGCATTTCTAACCAAGTGCCCAGGTGATACTGATGCTGATGACCATTTAAGATCCACTCTTCTAGACACAATCATATTTATTTTTCAAGCAGTGGATGACCCTGACTTAATGAATTGGGGTGAAGCAGGAAATATTATTTAAGAAAATTAAGAAATACAATGGCTAAATGTTTTCAAAAAGTTTAACTTTATATAAATGATACTTATGTATTGCTATATTTTAGAACAAGGAATCTTTCCTAAACATAAGAAAAGAGATAATGAATGAGAATCAGAAAGCCCTGATTTTATAATCACGTACTCAATTACCTCAAATTATAGAGCATATAAATTCTGTGAGATAAAATCAGAGACCAGTAGAGATATTGCCACTATGTCCTCCAAAAGGCTGAAAATAATGTTGGCAACAACTTTGTAAATAATATTCACAAGTATCCCTTAGCATCTAATTAATAGATGGTAGGGATCTGGCTTTCAGAACTCATATAAAACCATCTAAGGTATGCAATTACTTTTTAACTTCCAAGTTTTTCATTTTTTGGTTTTTTTTAATCATGATTTTTAAGTCCTAAACTCAGATTGCAGCAGGTCTGTTAGATTGTGATGACAGTGTGGAGTAAGCTTTACAATATTTGCATTCATTGGATCAGACCTCCTGGGGTGAACCCCACCTTCTATTATACTTCACTGATTATAATGAACTCAGGAAAAGAAAGGTGAAAGACAAAAACATTCAAATTAAACCATGAAGACCCTAACCTTATTTTGTTTTGTAGAATGCAGGAACTGAGGCCTAAATATACCAACTTTACAAAGCTCATTAATGGAGCCAGGTATAATAATTATGTCTTCAAACTTTGAGGCCAGGCTCTATTTTTTTAAGTTGGCAATACATACATTTATATACTCAGGAAAAAATGTAAAGTGAATTGTGTTTGTTGCTTTTGTAGTGAGTGATGAATTTATAGAATTCAAATCTTTTTTGGTTATACTTATTGCATTTACAAATGATAACATTTATTTTCAGGAGCGACAAAACTCTGTTGTTGTTGTTGTTGTTCAGATTAAATGCCCTTATTCTTGTCATCAAAGAAGCATCAGGCTCAACTTGTGATATTGTAGGAGATAATTGCCCTTATTAGTCTATAATTCTTTAAGCATATTTTATATGTTGCTAAGGGCCTATGTATAGTTATATGTATAGTTTACAAATTAAAGCAAATTGCCATCCCCACCCAAAAGGATGGGTTATAATTTTGGGTGCGATTAGAGAAGGCTGTGAACCTTTCTGTAATAATAACTTCTAAAAATTAAAATAGAATTCAAACCCTCTGGCCTCATGCTGGGCTTGGTACTTTATTAATATAAATAGATACTCACATGAGAATTATTTTAAAAGGACAGGTGAGGAATAAAAGACCACTTTTTCATGCTGGATGCTTTTGAGAACTAACTCTAAACTTGTAACTACTTGCTTAGATACTTCTAAATATCTGTGTAAGATTCAGCTATAAGGATAATCTTGGTATTTAAGAGATGCTGAATGTGTGAAAATTATCAGCTTCCCTTGACTGGAAACATTGCTTCTCCAAAAATGTGCTGAACATGTGTATTTCCCAGTTTCTCAATGGGGCATTTGATGGTTCCCAGCTACAGTAACAGTACCACCCAAATAAAGCCAGGCTCTCACTGGTTATAAGAGCTAAAGAAACCTTTTCTTAAAACTAGCAAACAACCTTCCCAGGGGTAATTTAGGCAAGTAACTCAGTTCTTCCATTTTCAAATTCTTCTTCCAAGTACTGTGGTTTTGCCACATTCTAGCTACATGATTTTGGACACGTTGCATAACCTCAGCCCCCGCATCCATAAAGTAAAGATAGTAGTGCCCTTCTGGTAGGGCTGTTGTAAGGATTAAATAAGTTAATACAAATCACATACTTGTGATATGGTACATAGTAAATACTCAGTAAATACCCAAAACTTGTTATTCTAGCCTTTGTTCCCTTGTGTGGCTTTTTTCAATACAACTTTCAGCTGCGTAGCACATCTTACTCCTTAGCACTTAAAATTTTTGTCTTTGTCTTTTTTAAATCACTTTAGACATAAAGTACTCTGCATGCAAGCACTCATTACCTCCAAAACAAAATAAAACAAAACTCAGGCTGTGTTGCCTCCATAATCTGAAAAGTCTGGTATTCCAGATTATCAGATTGCTAAATTAATTCTGATTGCCATTTGTCACCTCGAACCTTACGGTTGCTCTGCTGTGTAAAGATAAACTTCTCCAGCTACAAGTTCTATACCCCCTTTACTTGCTTTCTGAGGAATCATTTGACTTTGTCATTCCCTGAATAAAATTTTTTAAAATATAGGAAAAATACTAATAATTCTCAGAAGAAATTGTTACTCTACTAGATGCGAAAAAAAAAAAAAAACATATTTGCCACAGAAGCATTCAGCCTTATATTTTACATATAGTTGTATAACATTAATCAGTTTTGCTGTCATTTTCTCTTTTTTCAGATTTGTACAAATGTAAAGTAGATAAAATGGTTCTCCATGATCAAGTAGTTACATGATTTATTTCACATTATATATTCCCCAGATTCTCTCTCATGTGTTTCGCTGTCATATATTAGTTTGGCAGCAGAATGAACTAAGAATGTATTAATAAATTGATGCAAATATTTTTATGTAAGCTTGTCATATGTACTGAGCAACAGAAACTCAGAAATACAGAATAGAGATTATTATAATAATCTCTTTCCTAGTTTTGTTCAGCTATAGAGAAAAGCAAGAAGTTTGGAGACAATAGGAAGGATGAACCTAACTACTAAATTGAATTGGGTTCTATAAAAAGCAGAGCTAGGCAAGCAAATTCACTGTCTGTGGTACTATTTTCAGTTGTGGTTATTGTAGTTTTCATATTTAGAGCTTCCTGATGTTAGCATCTTCTCCACCTTTTGTGTTCAATATATAATTTGTCATATTTATAAAACCAGTCTGGCAGGTTTGTTTACATTTTAGAAGTCTTTCAAAAGAAAAAGATTGAAATATTATTCTTAAAAAGTTGTCACGGCATTAACCACAGGTGTATCTGGCACACCCCATCTCAAGTCATGTCAGACAAGGAAAAGTTAACGGTATGAAGCCATTATTATAAAATCCAGTACTGTGCTATGGTTTACATATGTGTTTTTCATGTCCAATAATGTGTACACTTAAATTAAAAACTTCTGCCTTATCAGGGATGATTGTATATAAAAAGTTTTGTCAACCTTTCTCCCTATTATGACATGTACACCACATTACCTGTGAAACCAAATCAACTTTTATTCATTGGTTGCAAGAGCTGAAGAAACCTGTTCTTAAGCCAGGCGCGGCGGCTCATGCCTGTAATCCCAGCACTTTGGAAGGCCGAGGTGGGCGGATCACGAGGTCAAGAGATCGAGACCATCCTGGTCAACATGGTGAAACCCCATCTCTACTAAATATACAAAAATTAGCTGGGCATGGTGGCACGCGCCTGTAGTCCCAGCTACTTGGGAGGCTGAGGCAGGAGAACTGCTGGAACCCGCGATGCACAGAGCGCCACTGCACTCCAGCCTGGCGACGGAGTGAGACTCTTGTCTCAAAAAAAAAAAAATAAATAAATAAATAAAAAAAGAAAACTTTTCTTAAAACTAGCAAACAGCCTTCCCATGGGTAATCTAGGCAAGTAACTCAGTTCTTCCATTTGCAAATTCTTCTTCCAAGTTGGTATATTCTGTGGCCACAGCATACACAGCTCAGCTCTTTAGATCAGCATTACAATTCAACTTTAACCTCTGATAAGCTCTAAGAATTATGTTCACATACTTTGCATTGATCATTTCTGACTATCACATGAAAATAAGGCTCCTTTTCCCTTCCAGGTCCAAACTACCGTGAAGCGCCAATGGGCCCAATTCAAAATTCAATGGAATCAGCGCTGGGGGAGCCGCCCCTCTAACCGCTCCCCTCGCCCTGCAGCAGCCGCTGCAGCTGCTGCAGCCGCCGCCGCCGCCGCCGCCGCCGCCGCTGCTGCTACCGCAGAGGCCGACAACATTCCGGTTTTCATCTGCCATCAGGAGCCGAGGAATGTACCAGCCAACAGCCAAGGCGAGGAGAATGCTGAGATGATTCCTCTGAACATCATAGAACAAGAGTCATCTGCTTGAATGTGAAGCAAACACAGTATCGTGATCACTGAGCCATCATTTCCTGGGAGAAAGACCATGCATTTAAAGTGATCTCCATCCTCCCAGGAACCGAACATATCATTTGTGAAGAATTATTCAGTGAATTTGTCCATAGTAAACCTGAAGAAAGTTATTCTTGGTACTATTGCTTTGGGAGACAGTCTAGGAATGGAGTCTCCCACTGCAACTTGTGAACTCCATCATTCATCCAGGACTGAGATGCAAATGTCACAGTAATGCAAGCAAAGTATCAAAGAAACACAAAGAAATTGACCTAGTTCAGATACAGGGTGCTCCTTGTTGATATTGAGCCATTTATACCTTTGAAAAATTAAAATCACTCTCGATATTTTTCTTTTTAACTCTAGATTTTGAATTAGAGTATTTCTGTATTTGACCATGGATCTGATTTTTAATTTTTTTAATTTCAATCAATACTGATGTTACTGAGAAGTTTTACCATCCTTACAATGTAAACCACACGAACTACGTGATCTCTGCAAGACAAAGTAGCTTTCTAATAGACAGATGACTAAATATGTGAAGAAAAAGACCTGGCAGGAAGATGTATGCTTTGAATGCAAAAGAAATTTAGAGTCAATTTGTGGGAAACATTATATGCTCAGCTTGGTTTTGGATAATCCTTGTCCATTGGGCAGGCCCTAACTGCTGTAAGGAATTGGTCTTAATGTTGAATGTACTTTGGTTGCTGACATTTATAAACTGAGAGGTCACAAAGAATCCATCACTAAAAATTTTTACAAAACTGCCAAAACTATAATTCTTAGTGGAAGACAATATACTCTCTTTAAAGAGAGTTTTCCACTTTCCTAAACTTCAGGATTTATAAAGCAAATTACTTAAAGGTTTATAAAGCAGAGTACCTCTTGCCCTTGGGTGCTATCTAGCAGTAAAAGATAAATTTGTTGAAAACTGATAATTAAAAGACTCCATATAAGTCCATTAACTGCTTTCCACCCAGCTTCAAAGCTTAACTAGATCTCAGTCTTTTCCAGAAAAATTCAGGAGGGTGAATTAGAAATCAGTTTGTGGTTAACTTCTTGTTTCTTGTTATTAGCAAAACAGGAGGGAGAAAAATTGCTACAAATTTAACCATAAATCAATTCATTTTAAAAGTTTCTCATTAAAATCCAGTATTATAGTCCCATATCTCTCTTTACTTTCCAGTATCAGATTTTTGAAAATCCCTTAATAAGCCAGTATCATTACTGGTACCTAAAATTAATTTGTGAATTTGCAACAGTAATCAGGGTTACCATTATTTAATTTGTATACTAAATGAGGAGATACATTGAAATCCTCCAAATCTCCAGTCTCTTCTATATCGTATTTTGCCACTGCCTTTCAGAAATGATTTAGTTGTGGAAAGACAATAAATTGATTTGTTATGGTTATATATTTAGTGCAACCAGAGAAAATTATATTTCTACAGAGAAAATGAATTTTGGATACTAAAGTAGTTTAAGTCTCCTTTACTGCATGTAAGGGGGGAATTGAAAAGAAGGTATTTTTCCAATCACAGCGTTATGTAGTATTGTTCTATTTTTGTTTACAAACATGGAAAACAGAGTATTTCTGGCAGCTCTGGTACAAATGTGATAATATATTGCTAAAATATTTTAGATGTTTTATGCTAATATACTAGGGCCTGAAGAAAATAAAATAGCTTATTATAGAATTGCACATAGTTCTGCCCAAATTATGTGAAATGCTTATGCTATATATATATATATATATATGTATAAATTAATACAGAGTATGTTAAAAGCAAAAGATGTATATTTGTGTATTTTTCTAAAGAAATATATTATTCATCTTTCATTCATTCATCTTGTCTCCTGCTCATTCCATGCTGTTTTTCATTTCAGCCATGGGCTGCTAACATCCCATCTTGTTTGTACTTTAGGAGTGGGAAATATAATCTAAAAGTATAGATTAGAAACCATGCACAAAATATCAACGTTATTATGTTTATTAGTACAACCATCTTTAGTCTCAATTTGATTGTAAACTCAGTGACACTGTTCTCAGGTCCTTGATAACACAAAACCACACATCACTGTCAGTCAATATTGCATTAGTTTAGGAAGGATAGCAAAGAAATCAAGGGCAAGAATATCCTTTTATTGTTCTTGTTTTTTAATTCATTATTCTGGGACCAGATCTGATCTGTCCAATATCATGTCAGATCATTGGAAGTGTTACAATCATTGGCTGTTAATATAGTTTGGGAGAGAGACTAAGGCTAGATGAAAGGCAACTAATTAACTATCATTAGAATGCATAAAGGGCACCATTGGAAAGATTTTCAGATCTGGAAAGCATGAAATGGAAAATATGAGCATTAAATGAGAACTTGGATGTACTAATAAAGGAGAACAGGAGCAATTTGTAGATTCTTCTCATTATGTGAGAACTTCCAAAACTGTGGCCTCATGAAATCTGAGAAACTTCTTCTGAAAGGATATATAAGGATTACATCTTTCCCTTATGTTCCAGAGGGGGATAAAAAGAGATATTATTATCTTTGTAATCTTGAGGAACAAAAACAATTTCTCATCATATCATAAAACATGATTTCTCAAGAGATAAACCAGTATTCAGACGGTCAGCTTCCCTTTTGCTTTGACTCCTATTTTTCAATCCAAAAAAGGCCTTTAGGTGCAAATGAATATTTCAGTTACTGCAGGGAAAAATGTTGAATAATACATCACAATAATGCTATCATCCTTGAGCTACAATCATTCTCATTCATCCCTTCACTCATTAGACATTGATTAAATAGATGTTTCATACACCTTCCATCTCGCTATAAAACAAATATTTGTCAATAGTAGTTATCAAGGCAAACCTTCTTTACAGTAGGGATCGCTTCTTTTTGGTGTAAGGGTAAAAATCAAAACCTGCTAAGTGAAGCATTACCCACAAACCATAACCACTGATGGAAGAATGAAGTGACACATGTGGCTGGAGGTGGTAGCTGAGTGTGATCTTCCCTCCTCATTAACACTGGACATAAGAGCTTCAGTTGTAAGAAGCATTCTCAGAACACGATCTCAGGACAAAGGCTCAAGGGGGACTCACTGTCTTGACAAGGACTAAAATAGTGGTTCTTCCATTGGCTAGATTGCAACTTAACTAGTTATCACAGGAGTTAACACTTTTGGATTTAAAATGAAATTCTTTATGAAGAGGGTATATCAGAATCCATATTTAGAAGGGCAATCAAGTAAACTCAGAAGGAAATTCTATTTGCTATTTTGACAATAAACAAGATGACACTCCTAACTTAAGCTTATGAAAGTTGATTTTACTGAACTAATAATTTGTATCAAGCAGGGGGTTACAGGAAACAATAACTGGAAACATACAGAAAAGGATGATAATATGTGCATGTGTGGGCAAAGGAAATTAGAGAAGCCACACTTGCAAATTAAGAAATAACTGTATTTCTGATATTTTTTCTTCTGGACATGAAATTAACATTTATTTAATATCTCTGAATAATATGAAGCATTGAAGGAAAAAAAAACACACAGTCACTGAAACTATAACCAACAAAGGGCAGGAAGATTTTCTAATATAATATCCTCCTTCATTCAGACTAGCAAGAATCTCTAAGAATTTTCAGAGATTTTCCATTATCTTGAGCATGGGCCAGCCAGTCTCTTAAGCCACTGATCAATGTCCATTTTCTATTTACAAAAATTCAATGCCTTCTATCTAACTTTCCCAGAAATCCTTCCACTGAGACATAAGCTGTGCCATCCCTCTTAACCTATTGACCAGCAATGTCACCTCTTGTCACTACAGTCTCTTTTGCTTAAGAGACCTGTTATTTTAATTTGGAGAATTTTGCCTCCAATAAAATCTCAGAGTTTTGCAAGTGAAGTGCCTAATAGAATTTCAATACACCCAGATGAGATGTCATTAATGAAAAAAAAATTAGAAAAGATTGAGAAATCTGTCTCTATCCAAACCTGCCAGACTGGCTGATTAAAGCTAGCACATTGGTTTCTCATACAGAGGCCATACAACTAAATATACAACTAGCTATAAACTCCTAAGATCTCTGCATAGCAGAATCAGTGGCTAGTCTCTGTGCAGCAAGAAATTTCTCTGGATATAGTCTCTTCTTCAGTGCACTTATGCACTGCAGCTTCTGTATGCTCTCATCAGGAGAGGAATATTGTGAACTTAAAGCTATGGAGAGCATCCCTTTAATAGAGACGATTTAAGAAGAAAGAGAGAGATAAACACCAATCATTAAAACACTGTACTCAATATAATAGACCAATAGACATTAGCTCACCTACTCTTTATAACACTATGAGACTTCTCTTTATGCTCATTTTAGTGATGAGAAAATTATGTGGAAGATAAATTGAATAAATTATCTACCACAATCACACATAAGTGGCTGAGCTAGGATTTAAATCAAGGCTACCCAATGCCTCTGCTTTTTAAATTGCCATTTTGGTGGGTCCTACTATCCTAGCCAGGGTCTCAAGGTAAGGCTGTTCCTCTTTTTTAACTCTAAAAACTATCACATAGTAAATTCCCAGTGGTTAAGAGAAGAGAAATCATTCACAACATGTATCTTTTTAGTCCAAAGTTAACTTAATTCATTGTCCATAGATTCCTTCAACCAAAAAGGGTCTTCAGATGGCATTTATTTTTCTGTAGTTTCAAGGGTTTCTTTCCATAGTGGTGAGTTCTATTTTTAGCCAGAGAGTTTTTCACACACAATGCTAGTTTGCAGCTTCTTCACTTTGAATGACATCTTTATGCGGATATTTGAGAGACAAAACATGTTTTGGGAAAATTCACGGTTTTGAGACCTGTGAAAAAGCTACATATAGTAGTCAGGACTGCACTTAATACTGTTGCTGGCCGAATATCCACTTCTTAGTTTCAAAAATTGGGATCTGAATAGATAGGATGATGATTATGAATATTCATTCACCCATTCAACTATGCATCAGATGATGAAAAAAAAGGTAGAGAGTCAAGAAAGAAGAGACACTGAGGAATGAGAGGGACAGCCAAGGTGACAAACTGGTTAGGGTGCTAATTCCCTCTCTGGATAACAACCCGGGACAAACTATAGAAGCAGAGAAAACCCATGCATGACAAAAATTAGCAATTGATTTAAAAAGAAACAAGAAAAAAGGAAGCCAGTGGGACTATTGGTTATAAAAATGCAATACCTAAAGTAACACTATACTGAATAGTTGAAATAAATAACACATGATAATTTAGACACCACTGAAAAATTAAGTAGTGAGTTAAAAACTAGATCAGAAATCTCAGAGAAAATAGGAAAGAATAAAGATATTGAAAGCAGAAAAGAAAAACCAAGAGGTATAGAAATAGAATTGCCAAAATCAATAATAGGAGTACCAGAAAAACACACACAAAAAAATTAAAATGGAGAAGGGGACATATTCACGGAAGTATGTTTTAAAACTCTCTGGGGTTAAAGACAAAATACCTCAGCTAACAATAACCCCAAAATTGCGAAATAAATGCC